TTACACTACGTGGGATACAAGGTAAGTACAAATTTAAATTCCCGCTTTCAAATTATAAATACTATATTGCGTAATAAACCATTAAGATAGGTAATAAAGTTTGGTAGGATAATTGACTTCATTTATTCAATATTGTTCAACCCCGAGATCAGTTCATTATTTTTGTCACAACGCTTTTGTGCATTTTTATTTATTTGATCATTACCCTCATGTATTTAAACTCCGTTTATTCACCCCTCTGAATCATTTTTTATTCATATTATTATATTCTTTGCACCCTTACATATCTTGCCACATTTAAACATGTGTTAATCCGCCATTCACCATCTTATTTAATAATTTTTATTATTATTCGGCCATACATACGCTATATTATATCTTTGGTCTGACTAAGAACCAACCCTTAGATTTTCTTTTGATACAATATAAGCATTTATACATTCAATAGTAAAATCCACATCACCACCATTTTTTTTCTTATCCTCCATTATTAATCCCTATAAACCTACCTATCATCTTATAATATTTTATTATACCTACCATTTATTATATTTTATTATTTTACATTCCAACAAAATTCTAACAAACTCCTTTTTTTTAATTTTTTTTTTTTTTCTTTCTTTTTGGTTTATTACACATGTCTGCTACTTTAATGAAGTCAATCAAAAATTAGAATTAAATATTCAAAAGCGATTTTTACTCATTGTATGTTCATAGTTTCCAACAAAATTCTAACAAACTCTTTTTTTTTTAATCTTTTTTTTTTCTTTTTGGTTTATTACAAGTGGCGCCCAACTAGCAGTTTCGAACCCCAGCTATTCCATATATATCCAAATATTTCGGTTTCATAATAGAATAAATATTCACTTATGAATAAAATACACATTGTCATTTATTACTGAAAGAACTCGCATTTTAAAAGTTTACAAAATTTTATCAAACACTTCTCATATACTAATTTTATAATTTTAATGAACAATCCAACAAAAAAAGAATTTATAATAGTTGTCAAATATTTACTCAAAGAAATAATTAATAAATTTCGTGGAGATATCATTAAGTGCAAATATCATTTATACAAAACAATTGCAGAAATTCTTTGGGAAATAACTTTACATCTTGGCATTAACATATACAAAACACAAAAAATACAAAGATTTATTTTAATATTCCTAAATAATAATACCACATTTCCCACAACAGAAACAACCCTATTACTTAAACTTTCTCTTACATTAAATTATATTTATCAACATGATATTAATGAGATTTTAGAATTCGTACCTAAGTACAATATAATAACGNTATCAACATGATATTAATGAGATTTTAGAATTCGTACCTAAGTACAATATAATAACGGAAATTAAACATACAAACCTTTAATTAATATAGAAAACAAACACCATTTTTCTATTACTTTTTAAAAATATATCAAATTCAAAATAATCCAACCATATGAACTATCTCACTAAAATAGAATTCATTGAAGTCACAAAAAGGGTATTAAATATTATTATACAGAATTATTGTAATAAAACTGTGAATCATAAAATTCATTCATATCATATCATATTAGACGCACTTTGGACAACAACTCTGCGTATGCAACTTGATATCAATAAATTCTTACATATTCAAAAATTTATTCGCATTTTTATTGACACAAATTCTTATCCAACAAAAGAAACATCCATTATTTTTAAACTAACTGCTGCTTTACACTTTCTATACGAACACACAATTGAACAGATTTACGCAAAAATTCCAATTCCCTATAACCATCCAGATATTATATTATCACCAGTAAATTCAAAATAATATTTAATGAATCAGTCACCCATAGGAATATCTAGAACTTCTATAAGATATATAATAAAATTAGCATTAGAAGAATATCCAAAAGATTTCAAAATAGAAAATAGAAGTAATTTTAATCAAATTTTAGCTAATCTTGTTTGGAAAGCCACAGTTGAATCTATAAACTATACTCCAAAATTAGTTTATGCCCTACTAGGTTTTTTTGAAACAAAATTAATAAGAGATATTTTATTTCCTGAAACAATCACAGAATTAATCTTAGAATTAGTACAAATTTTAGAAATAACTTATACCAATCTACATTAACACAAATGAATGTTCACTCAACTAATACAATTTCCAATATCATATCATTCAGAAATCTACTAAAAGAGGCTATTAAAGTACTCATAATAGAAGCAGATTATACAACTCCGATAAATTCCATTTTAAAATATAAAACAATAATTAGACACAGTTGTAATAAAGCTTATAAACAAATTAGTTTAAAAAATAGACATATACTTTTAATTTGCATTAATCACATTTACAGTAAAACTATTAGAGGATATTTATTCCCACAAACAGGTATTAAAATTATATTAGAATTAATAAGAATTTTAGAGCTTACATACATTGAACCTGTTTATTCTTTACCTAACTCACTTCCCTTATAAAATTAATGGAAATTGATGATATTGTCGAATCCGTTAGTACTATATTTAAAGGACAATTATATGATCTTGATTCTGTTGAAAACCCAGAAGATTTCATTAAAAGAATATCGTTTAACACCCTTAAGGAAGAATTAGAAAATAGAAATTTAATTAGCACAGGTTCTATATCCGAATTAAAAGCAAGACTATTACGTCATTTAGTGGGGGAAGGCACTGATTCAGATTATTCTAAAAATTGTAATAGATATTTAACATCTAACTGTAATCAAAATTCCACTGCCGATAATACATTCAACAAAATGAATGAACGAATTCCTTTTTGTAAACCTGAAAAATTTTCTGGTGCTTTACATGAAAGCATAAATACTTTCTTAAACAAATATAACAGAGCGGCTATGATAAATGGCTGGACTGATGATCAAAAGAAAACTTTCTTAGGTATTTATCTTACTGAAACAGCTTTATTATTTTTTGAAAATTTTGAATTTGATAACCCAAAATCGAGCTGGAACGAAATACAAGAAGCCCTTAAATTAGAATTTGAGCAAACATCGCAAACACATATGTTACGCACTATGGTTGAAAAACGCAAACAACTCCCTGATGAATCTATAGCCAGTTATATTAATGAACAAGAATCCCTTTGTAAAAAAATAGATCCAAATATGTCCCAAACAGAACTAGTTCATACTATTATGAAAGGCTTACAACCAAAAATAGCTAGATATGTAGGCATACTCGATAATAATAATTTACAAGAGTTAAAGAAAAACATAAGGAAATTTGAATCAATAGAATTCATGTTAGAAGGTACTAGGACTCAATCTAACGATGAAATCCAACATAACATAGCTAGAGAAAACTTATTTAATATAAACAATCATAATATTAATCAGAATAAATTTGACATGCTCTCTTCACAAATTTCTAAGATAGAAAATATACTATCGAAACTTAATATTTCAGAAAACCAATCACCATATAATGAACTCAAATCTAATAATTCTAATTATAATAATAATACTAGACAAAATTTTAGTAATTTTCGTAGCAACAATTATCATATTAATAGAGAATACAATAACACAGACAATAATATTGATAGAAATAATAGATATCCAATAAATAGAGAGTTCGATTATAGAAATAATAGCAATACAAATAACAGGCAATATAATAATTATAGAAATAATAATTATCAAAATAATCAAAAATTTCGAAATAATCAAAATTCCCAATGTAATAACATTACACCACCTAATCCTAGGGAATTCAGAAATAACAACTACAGGGATAACAATAATTTTATTAATAGAAATAACACGCAAAATGTCAGGAATTATAATCAAATAACTTCTAAAAATATCGATCCTCCTACATGCACATATTGCAATGTTTATACTCATAATACAAACGATTGTAGAAGAAAATTAATATGCACCAATTGCAACGGGAGATATCACCTGGCAGATACCTGCTGGAGAAAGGTTAACAATAACAATGATACAAAAAACCCCCCTATAGGTCAAATGCAATAATTGGGGATATGCATTCACCTTGCTCTCCAATACATTCAAATTTCGACAATTCCGATACAATACTCATCATAGTTAATCAAAACAGAAAAGCAAATGCATTACATATTTTGGCCAAATTACATAATGAATTCATAGAAATAACTGTAGATTCTGGAGCAAACATAAATGCTATACGTCCAGACCTTATTGATATTTCTAAAATTAATAAAACACACAAATACAAATTATCCGGTCCTGATAATTCACCTCTTAATTTACTAGGAACAACAATAGTTGAAATAGAAATAGAACAAACAATATTTAAATTCACAGCCTGTGTCATAGAAAATTTAACTAGCACAATAATTTTAGGTAATGAATTCCTATGTAATAATAATGCAAAAATAGATTATTCAAAGAAAACTATTATTCTAAATGATAAAGTCAAAACAGATTTAATGAATAGTAAATTTCCCCAAGTAATAAAAAATGTTGAAGTTAATGAACAAAAAACACCTAATATAAAACAACCAAGTAATATAATAGAAAAACAAATAGATTTAGTAAAAGTTCCTATTAAGTATTCAATAGTCCAATGTACTTCAATTGATTTAAATCACACTTCTGAAATTTCCAAATCAGTAATAGATACTTATGGAATCATGACACAAATTATAAAAGATACAGAGCTCCAGTTAGGAGAAGTAAGCACTGTAGTTTCTAATAAAATTATTATTCATTATTTAATTGTTAAAGAATCATACAATTCGCATACATCTTATTTAGACTTATTCAATTGTTTATATAATCTAAAAAATATTGCCATACAAGAAAATTTTCAACATATAGCTTTCTCTGCCTTAGACTTAACAAATAAACAACTACAATGGGATATAATTAAAAACATGATTACTGATATATTCAGTAATGAGGCTATTGAAATTTTAATATGTTACCCAAAAGAGGAGCAAAATATCATATCTAAATCCGATAAAGTATTATCTAATATTCAAACCAAATTAAAAAGTTTCAAAAGTTTCAGAAGTCAAAAAATCGATAAAGATATTAATCCAGAATTCCTTAATGTATTTGCCCAACACACATTAGGTGAAAATGTTTTATCTGACGGACTCTGTGGAATTTATTCAATCATAAATGCAATTAACGCTAATCGACAAACAAATACCATTAACTTAAAATCTATTTGTAAATTACTCAATATACCAAAACTTCCAAATTATTGGTTTCATGATGATCAAATTGCTTCAATTATAAATCATTATGGTTTCGACACATATATTTTCTGTGATAAAAACAAAGTAGGATATGTATTTGGCAATGGTTTAAGACCACCTATAGTTCTATATAATTTAAATGATGGTACCCATTGGTGTCCAGGAAAACTAATTACAAACAAAAGAAAATCTTCTAAAATTCCAATAAAAATTATTCATACAGAAAATTTTATTCCAATAAAAACTATTGAAGAAACATGTAAAAATGCACTTAAAACAACAAAAAAAGAAACTATGCTTAACATTAATTCTAATTTTGATAAAAACCAAATATGTGATTTAGAAAAAACTCCAATACAAATATCCGATCATCTTTCTGTTTATCAGCACAACACATTAGTAAATTTAATAGAAAAATATATTCATTTATTTACAACTGATATGTCTAAAATAAAAGAAGCTAAAATACCACCATGTCAAATAAAACTAAAAGATAATGTTAAACAACCAAAATTTTCTTCACCTCATAGAGTATCACCTTCTCAAAGAGAAGAACTAAAAAACCAACTTGATAAATTAATGGAAGCTAATATAGTAGTGCATACAAAATCAAATTTTGCATCGCCAGCATTTTTAGTTAAGAAAAAAGAAAAAAACTCTCATAGATTAGTTGTATCTTATAAAGACTTAAATGAAATGGTAGAACCTGATATGTATCCTTTACCTCGCATTAATGATCTATTTCGTAGTTTAGAAGGTTCAACTCTTTTCACATGTTTTGATTTAAATAGCGGTTTTTTCCAAGTACCTGTACAACAACAAGATCAATATAAATTAGCCTTTACCACAATTCATGGACTATTAACTTTCACCAGATTACCACAAGGTTTTCGCAATAGTAGTGCTATATTTCAAAGAGAACTAAACAAAGCCTTTTCTGACTTATTGTATAAATCTGTAGTTATTTTCATAGATGACTTAGCAACATTCGGTAAAGATTTTGAAACAGCTATTATCAATTTAGAAAAAGTCTTCGAGGTATTAGATTACTATGGATTATCTTTAAAAACTTCCAAATGTAAATTTTTTGCTGAAAGTATTGAACTTCTTGGACATAAAATATCTAAAGAGGGCATTACTCCTCTCACTCGTAATATTAAGGCCATCACAGAATTTAATAGACCTCAAACTCCCAAACAAGTTCGAAGTTTTCTTGGGATGTGTAGCTATTATAGGAGATTAGTAAAAGATTTCTCAAAAATTGCATTTCCATTATTCAATTTAACCAAACATGATACACCCAAAAAGATTGAATGGAATACTGAACATGAAATAGCATTTGAAAAACTAAAAAATATCTTAACATCCGAACCTGTAATAGCTCATTTTTCTGATGATAAAGAAACATATCTTACCATTGACGCCAGCATTATGGGCTTAGGTGCCGTTCTTGAACAACCCGATGAAAATAATATATTAAAACCAATAGGCTATGCTTCTAGGAAACTTTTAAATGCTGAAAAAACATATTCTAGTACAACTCTTGAACTTCTAGGTCTTGTCTTTGGTATAACTTATTTTAGAGAATATCTCTGGGCCAGAAAATTTATTGTATATTCAGACAATATGAGTCTTCAATATTATAAAAATCTAAAAATCCCATCAGCAAGAATAGCTCGCCTAACACTAAAAATATTAGATTATGACTTTATTGTGAAATTCAAAAAAGGAAAAGACAATGTAGTTGCTGATTGTCTATCCCGAGAAGGAATAATGAATATTATTGATGCTGTAGTTTTCAATCATCATGAAGTTGAATCCTACAACAAATTAACTAACGTGACCTCCAATTTTAATATTAACAAATACAACAATATTACTAAAAATATAAAATCAAA